TTCAACAGAAATAGAATCTCAACATGAGTTAGAATCTGAAGAAATTCAAATTGATAAAGAAGACTATGAAGGAGCATCATTAGATAATGCCTATTATGATTTGAAATTTGATTCGCACATTTAAGTATACGTATTAAAGCGTAGTCCATCACGTGATCCGAGTGGCCGATGTACAGAATGAGTCACCAGATCATCAGCATGAAAAATTTAAAAATTCCCAATCACGAAATTGCGAGTTCGTGTTGTAAAATAATGCCTTCGATGCTACTATTACTTTCACGAGTGATTTGTCTAGGAAAATCCTCGCCTCCCTCTTGCAAGCTCTTACTATCGCCAAATATTCATAATAACATTATTAACATCTCTGGTTCCGAGAAAAAGGTTTCTTGTGTAGTAAAAATTTCACAATACTTTAATTATTCCTCGTATCGAGAAAATTTTGCCACCAGATCATCATACAATAATCATATTTATAATAAAGATGAAGATCTAGAACGCATTCGAAGAGCACCTTATAACAATCCATCAAAAAACGAAAAATTTTACAGTGAGTATAACAAAAATGCACCCAGTTTTGAGAACAATAGATTTGATCGTGTGTCATCGTCGTCTAGGTTGAGCAGGAGTGGACAATATTCTTCACGATCAGATCAAAATAGTTCTCAAAGAAGCTTATACGAGGAAGAAGATAATAAAAAACCACGAACACTATTATCATCACTATCACCAAATGCAGCCCAACACAAATATCCAGACAAACCATTCAATGACCCATATTACAAAGATGATATTGATGGAGTGAACAAATTAAAAAAAGGGAAATTAAAAACAAAAACTAAATCATCATCATTATCATCATCATCGCCACCATCTGCTGCATCATCGCCTAAAAATAGATCGCAATCATACTCTCGTAATCCGAAAATAGAAACTAAATCATCACCATCTCTCAAAAATACATCGCAATCATACTCTCGTAAACCAACAACAAAAGCTCAATCATCATATAATGTAGATTCTGATGATGAGGATGATAACGACTACGATGACGATTATAAGCCAGAACCATTTATGCGGGCTGGATCTCGTGGAATTGTAAAAAAAAGAAAAACTTTTTCTGGTAGTAATAATGGTAGTGATAATGGTAGGTAGGCGTCATCCCATCTTTTTCAGCATTTTATCAAGATCTTGATTACTGCCTATATTAACTATGTTTATTAACAGATTTCGATAAATATGATGATGACGACGATGACGATTATGGTGACATAGATGGCGACGATGAATTCGAGGATGCAGACGATGATGAAACCTTGCCACTCAGTGAAAATGAGGAAGAGGAGGGACGCGAGAAGCCGAAACACAAGCTTCCCGCGTATAAACTCATTCATTATAATAGCAATCCGGCTCGTATACCGCGACATGAAATAACACCCCAACTGATAAAGAGGAATCAATTTGCAGAGAAAGCAATGAGTGGGATGCGATTTCTTTATGATAATGTATGTAATTAGTGTGTATGTGAATGCGAGCTTGTTCATATACAACGTTTGAATTAGCTCTTGTTATGCTGACCAACTAACCAATCAACTAACAGATTAAACATAACGCACACTTGATTGAGTGGTATAGCTTCCTGAAGTATACACCGTCGATACGTTGTCACGTAAATATAAATTGCATCCGTGCTTGGTTCGACGAGTTCTCGACGAAAAGATTCATCCGCAGGAAATTATTGATGTCTGGGCAAAGATAAGGTAAGAAAGAAAAAAGGTATTGTTCGTCATCATTTATCTATTTATAAATAACTATATATATTCTCGGATCTAATCGATGGTTACTTTTTTTGATAGATATGTTTACGACGGTGCGTTACTGAAAAAAAAAATTTGGCGTCAATATTTTGGGAATCTTCCACAATCGATAGCCGAAAATTATCCTCCTGAAAAGGAGGAAAACGTTCATGGAGAAGAGTCCAATGCGGATGGGGAAAAATCAAAAAAGAATTCAGGTGTATCCAGCTCAAAAAATTCTCCGGGGAGAAAAGAGATGAATGCAAAGGTACATTATTGGATTATTTAGACTTATTTAGTAATTAAAGCAGGTATTAATATAAAGTAATTTCTTCTTCAAGGGGAGAGCAAAGACAATAACACCAAAAGCAGAAATTATAAAGCATCCCAGAGATTTATATCAAAGTAGACTAAAGAAACTACGTGAAAAACTGAAAAAAGAGGGTCATCTAAATACCAATATCCAATTAAACAAACGCCAACTACTATTACGATCAGTATACAGCCGTGATGTTCCACCACCAGATCCTATCAAATCACCAGAGGAAGAAGAAGCAGAACAAAAGGCAGTAGAGAAAAGTCCTCCGCCTAGAAGCTATATACCAGATTGGCGAAGTCGTGCCGAAGTCCCGGGATGGAAGCAGAACAAGTTGGCTAATTTAGAGAAACGGAATTTTAATCCGTGGGCACCAACAAGGAAAGTTTCTCGTGAGATGATGGAAAAGATTCGGTGGTTGCATAAAGAGGTTTGTTAAGAACAATATTTTTATTTTGATAATAATACTCTGAATTACATTAATAGATTTTTATAAACATAAGTTACCAAATGATTTCACTGTACCGAAACTCGCTGAAGACCATCAAATTCCGCAGGAAGCAGTCCTTCGTATATTAAAATCTAAATTCGTACCGACACCTGAGGTGATGGAACGATATAAACGAAGGAAACTGGAAAAAGCAGCAGCAGCACAAAAGAAGGCTAGAGATCAGAGAAGGATTCAGAGGATGCAGAGAATTACGGGAAACTCATGAGGTCCGGGATGTTGATAATTGGATTATTTATTTATTGTTATTATTTGTTTTCTCTCAAGTATTCTCGATATTTTGTGTGTATGTTAATAATGTTAGAGTTATAGTTTTTATTCATAATAAGAAAATGAAATAGTAATTTTTGACATCGAATTTATTAATTAATATTTTATTGTATGCTCCTAATAAATAATCCTTTTTCAAATTCATGAACTGAGGGATATGAATGTAGAAGACTGTCTGATTAAATTAAATTATTTTATTATTAGTTTATATTAATCTGATGATTTGATGTTTATTACAACTGTATGTCTCCTTCACTTGTATCATTTAGCGACAACAATTCCAATTGCCCCTTTCCTTTTGTGTCACTCTGTAACAATTCACTAATAGTTCGATACTGTCCCGGATCAATGGTACATAACTAATCACAAGCAATCCAAATTTAAAAAATATTAAATTCAAAATTAAAAAAAATCAGTAAACTGTCATCATCGATACTACTTACCAGCTCATACTCATCCCCGTCGAAATTTTCATCTTCAGTTTGTGCAATAAGTGGGACTAATTTCTCTCGGACTCTCTTTCCCTCTTTTACATTTGGTATTGTTATTCGTAATCGCATTTGTGCACGGGCGATTGGGATGATTTTCTTTTCTTGAAGCTGTTTGATGATGTCTAATGCCTATTATTTATTTATTTATTAATTAATTGATCGTTTCATTAATATTACACTCAAGCTCCTCCAAGTTAACAATTAAATTAAATATTTGTAATCTTCAAAAATACCTGAGACTTTGTACTTCGATTAGTTTTTACAGACATGTGTAACTCACCCATTGCTTTCTCGATCATCGTGACAGTGTAAGGACGCTTCGTCTCGGGATTCACACATTTCTCCGCGACTATTGTTGCAATTTCACGATACGTGTTGTCAATTTGATTTGAGCGTTCTCTTTCGCTCACTTGCAATTCACCCTTTTTTAGAATCTTTCCATTTATTCAAACACAATAAATAGTATTAGGAAAGATTTGCGTTTTCCCACTGCAAAAACCAATAATTAACCAAAATACCTCTTCTACAATCTTATTTAGATCTTCAGTTTTGAATGCTTTTTGTAAATCATCTTTTGGGGCTACTTGTCCTTTCGAAACGTTCAGAAATACATTATTGATTTGGAGAACGTTGTCCAAGTCTGTTTCGCTAAATAGATCAATTTATGATTTTATTCAATAAAATTAATTCTCAATTTAGAGCTAATAAGCAGATGACTAGAAAAAACTCAATGTCGAGTAACCCACTTTCTTCTAACATAGCATACTTACACCCCGTTCCTCCACTCCAAGACCTTATTCTTATAGCAAGCAATCTCGAATCGTTTGCCACCTTTTCGCAAACGAACTATCGAGACATTTGTAAGTCTATTACCAATAATGAATTAATAGGTAATGGAGCATAAATTTCTTTTTATTTACCATCAAAATAATGCAAAAACTCACTTTATTTGATTACTTGGTTGATTTATAGGCATATTAATAAATTGTTTCTAATTAGGGAGATATACATTATTTATAATGTTTATATAATACGCAGAAGATTGATCTGGTGATGTGCGTGGTGCATAATCCATGAAGTCATTTTTTTACATGTATTAATTTTACCAATCAAATATTTGCCAATGGGTCTACATTAATATCAACAGGATCCGATTCCAATTCAAGTTCCTCCTAAGAAAGTAAATAATCCCAAAGAAATAGTAACAGCGATATCTTATCAAAATATATCAAAAAAAACCAAGATTATTATTACCATCACTTCAGCAGGTTTCTTCTCCATACTTTCACACATAGGATCCAAGATATCCATGCACTTGCAATTAAACCATTCAATTAAAAATTTGTAAATCTAGAATGATCAATCGACAGGATACGACAGATTACCATTCTTTTTCGTTCTTTCCAGAATTTTCTGTTTCGCTCGTACGCCGTATCGATATTTTCCTTTTCTTCGCGCGAGACTTGTCGTGTGCCAGATCTCAATTCTTTCAAGCGTTCTTCGTATTTTGCATTCTGTTGGAAAAATTAACAAATGTTTAGCATCATGACTTATTTCTTCAGATCATCATTGCATGGTCCTCGCGCAACAATCACCGATGAAAAAGATTGTTAATTTACCTCCTCGTTAAGATTATTGAGCCTAGAAAGAGTCGAATTTGCAATTTTTTATTGTTAAACTCGAGTCAAATAATTCAAAACAAGAATGAAAGCGAAATAATAAAGTCCTACTCTTTTTCCATTTGTTCATTCGTCAAAGAATTGTTGAGACCGGACAAGACTATTATCATATGAATAGAGAATCAAATTAATCGACATCAACAACAGTCGATTACTTTCTTCCTTACCGGATTGAAGCTGTTTCGTTTCCTCTTTGTATTGACTAATCTCGTTCTTTAGCGCTTCAATTTGTGAGTCCATTTGTGCGAGTTCCTCATTTGATGGAGATTCAACTTGATCCTAAAATCAAGCGAGTAATTAATTTCTTAATCTTAATTTTCCAGATTATTGATTACCTACCTGCTTAATTACATAAACAGTTTGTTTTCCATAAGTTTTACAAGTTACTTCATCCTGCGTAACAAGAGAACCGAGAATTTTTTGAGTGGCGGTTTTTGTTACGGCGTTATGTAGATTACTGGATATGTCGGCTATAGTAGTATTAACAAGTGAATTATAATGACATTTCGATTCTGAAATAACGAACGTACTTGCACTGTAAGGTCTGTTCTGTTTTCTTAGATAGTCCAAGACCATTTGTTCAGCTTACATTACGAATCAGGTAAAAAACCGAGTACCAAATAATAAATCAGTTAAAAAAGTCTTATCAACTGACAACGCATAAACTTATTAATTTTGTGTGGTGGCTATTAACCGTCGTCTTTTCCAGACGAGCCTTGTGCCGCTTTCTTTGTCTTTGCCATTTTTTAATATTGATGCGTATCAAGATTTTTTAGTTGGGACGCGACACGTATATTATTTGAGAAAATAAATTCGTTTTATTTATTGTAACAACTTTTATTTAATACATAACTCGTGATTTTTGAAACTGCGCTATGCTATGCAACATGGATATATATGAGGAGATACATGTATAAATTTTTAGATAGTCATAAATTAGCGTGACCCGCATTGACAGTTTCCACTAGTGGTGCAACTACATTTGTTATCACAAGCACATTTGTCACCACATTTGCCGTCACATTTGCAACTAGAGAAAAATAAAGAAAATCATATGAATAATGCTGGTTAGAGTAACTGATATTTATTTAAATAAAATACATACACATGCTGCTGAGTTGTATCTTTCGTAGCGGTAGTGGTTTTTGCGCATTTGCAGTTATCCCCGCATTGGCAGTTAGTACCACATTTGCATCCGTGATCCATTTTTATTAGATTGAGAGAGGTAAAAAGTTCAAGAAGATAGTTTTGAGGATTTAGTTTTTTTTTTAAAGCCTTTCTGTTTTGTGAGAAGAGATTTTTATTGAATTTGAAGTTGTTGATAGATACCTCCTCCTTTTATAATTAATTATGTATTATGTACTTTGTATTATATTTTTATGTTAGCTTATAAATAAAGTGCGCTATTTATGCTATAGACTTTTACGTTTACTATAACAGGAATTTCGCTTTACAAATCAAATAAGGCACGGTGATTTTTGCGCTAATTCTGCTACAAATAAGATATATTGATCACTTGCGCTAATTCTGCTACAAATAATCATTTGCGCTAATTTTGCTACCGCTTTTTTTTATTACGATGAGGTAAGTTGCAAGACATTTTTTGTTTATATGCTATAGATTGTTCCGGTCGTGTCCCTCAATCGAAAGCATTGTTAGCGTTAGCATTAAATATTGGTATTCTGATTATTATGGTGCATAAAATCTAAAGTCATCAAATGTTTGTATTTTACAAAATATATAAACTTCTTTACTAAGAAGTAAATACAAAATTTAATCCGTGAATATGTTAGAATAGGCTTTTTCTGAGCATATTCACGGATTAAATTTTTTATTTACTTCTTAGTAAAGAAGTTTATACATTTTGTAAAATACAAACGTTTGATGACTTTAGATTTTATGCACCATATAACACGTGACAATTACGTCTATTGCATTATGCATTATGATAACGAGTAGGATTTCTTTTTTGTGATCATCAGTTTATTTAATTGTTTCGTTTGCTACGACATTTGTTTTCACTAAAAAATCTACCAAAATAGAAGCTTTCTTTAACCTCGATTTTATTATCGTTATCGTCATGGCCTATCGCTATGACCAGTCATTTGAAAAATGGCTATATTATATTATAGTAAAGTGTGACATTAGTATTTCGGGCGAAACTAGTTTCACCCGATTTGATCTGCAAAGGTTTTCCAAATCAGGGTTTCAGATGAAAGAAAACATTAGCCCAAAACACTAGGGGGTGTGTAAAGATGGTTCCCAGTCCTAAAAGACTGATCATTGTAAGATTACAGTCTTTTAGTCCTTGTGACTATGAGAAAAAAGACCTGTTTAATATGTGATATCAGTAACGATTGTTTTTCTAATCGTAATTCAATCTAATGACAAACGAAAATAATGAAAGTATGCTATTATATAAGCTAAAAACTGATATGTAAAGACCGACAGTCTTTAGTCTTTGAATGGTCTTATTATGTTACACAAATTTGAGACCACTTCTAAGACTGATCATAATAAGATCGTGTAGGACGTGCGGGACTGGAAACCATCTTTAGAAGTGTGACAATCCCGGAAATTTCAATCTTGACACGTATTAATGGTTAATATAACAAGCAAAAAAGTCTCACATCAAATTTAAAGACGATTATTCTGCGCGGAAATTTTGTCTTCATAATATTGAGAAAATGCAAAGTTTGCCGTATTCTCGTTAGCATCATCATTGATAATGCAAACTTTTATGCACATACAGTAGATGCGCAGTTATAAATAAGAGTGGTTTTTCCCGCTACAACTTTTTCAACACAAAAGTCAATAAATAAAAATTTTATCTTAAAGGCCTCTAATAACATTGTTGTCTCGATTAATTCTAAACATAAAAATGACTTTCTACGACGACGGATGCGACTGCGGCAATAATAATTGTCAATGCGACTCTTCTGCTACTTGCAATTGTGCAAAAGAAGCAACTCAGAATTCGTACGCATTTTATATTTTCTCTGAATTTTATTTCATTGTATTAAGCCCTCTGATCGCATGTATCCTATCAACCTTTTTTCATATTTATTTTTAGTTGCAAATGTGGTGAAGGATGCACTTGCATTGCAAAGAGTGGTGAATGTCATTGTGATTCAAAGTAGATTCTTATATCTTATCGTAAAGGTAATTAATTTGTTATTTATTCTTGTTCTTTTACAACTTATTATTTACTATCGTTATATCTCCAATACAGTCCCCGGCGAAAATAATGGTGGCCAGTTTTTTTTATTGTATTTCATTTAATTGTGTAATAAAATTAAAAAAATTATTTTGGAAGTGCCTGAGTAGGGCATTATGCCCCTAATATATCAGTGCTTGTGTGCTCTCTTTCCGTGTCAATGCAAGTTCGAATATAATGTTCTAAAACTTTTGTAGCTTGAACGTTTTTAACTAAAAAAAAAACCTAAGAAAAAAACTAAAATTCACAAAAATTCGATAAATGTTATGCTGATTAAAATGAAATTATTACCAAGATGTTCGCCTTATTGAGGCGAATATAATAAGACTCAAATTACAAAAATCTGATTAAATGACTCGCCATGATATGTTCCTATTAGATTCCACAAATTCATCACATTTTATTTTTTTTAATTGTTATTATCTTGTTAGGTATCTAGCACTATTTTTATATGTTTTGCTTCTATAAAAAATGTTAGTATAACAATCTCACCGCCATTATTTTCGCCGGTGATTGAACTATTAGGTTAATATAATAGTAACTACAGAGTTGTATGTTAACACATTGGAATTTAACTTTTTAAAACCTTTCTTTCTCCTTTTCATTTATTTTGTTTGTTTGATCACTTATTTTGTATTACTCGATATAATTATTTTCATGCTTTTCGAAAATTTGATAGCTGTGATATACTCTTAACGAAATGTGTATTATGAAAACAACCAAAAGACAAATTCATGATTAAAGGGAAATTCATATCAGTCTTTGCTGAAATTATTTAGACGATATATCTAAATTTATGAAATATGAAAATACATGGATTTTGTGCTAATGAAACAGTCGAAGTGGATAAATGACTACAGTTAAAGTGCGCCATAACGAATTTGTATATAACGAATAATTTGGTATAGCGAAGAAATTTTGCGGTACAATTGTATATTATACATATAAAATCAGCCTTCACGCTCACGTGATCCGTAAATTAACGTTGGGGTTGGGATAGGGGCGAGCTGATTTTTACTTAGTTATATTAGCATTCACGGTGAAGAAAATGACGATTCGATATGACGTGGGCATGGATTACAACTATAAAACCAGGCCAAGTTTTGTTGTGGGTTTCTTCTACTCGCACCACAAGTAAAAATGAAAATACAAACAAATCGAGCATAATTAAGTAATAACATCGAAATTAGGAATCATATCCGAACTCTTAAAAAAAAATCAAAGTATGATTGCATTCAATTTTTAGACCTTGGAACTAGTAATCGGTGTAGGGCTCCGATCGGTTCGGTAATTTACCGAACCGAGATGTCCGGTAAACGGTTCGGTAATTACGATATCGATATAAAATATTGGTTGTAAACTTTGAACATAATGTTATGTATTAGCATACTAATGCCAGTAATAAAAAAGCTTTGCATGATACTATTCTATAAATTTACAGCGTACTTAATTTAAAATAGAGAAATTTAAAATAATTTGAAATAGAAACTATTTAAAAATATAAATCATTAAAAGTATTAATCAAAGATTTCGAAAAGTTCGGTTTGCCGACCGATCGGTTTTTACCGAACCGGTTCGGAACTCGAAATTAACGAATGTGATACCAAATACATGTATAAACTGCTCGTAACACCAAATATGTTGACGAACTCGCTACCCGCAAGGCCAAATTCACTGCCAAACTCACCAAAGAAATTGCCAAACGTGACGAAAGATATATCGCGGAACTTTCCACCTGTGATTCCAGATATGACGCGGAACTTATCTCACGTGATGAAGGTTTACTGCGAAGAGGCAGAAATTTTTATCTATTATCGCGAAGCTTGAAGAAATCGAACAAACTCTTGAATATCACGGGGATGAAATCTATTCGTGCTCGATTGGACCAACAGACCGAAATGAGTTCATTTGTTGAACAATTTGCCGACCCATCTGTGGTTTCTTTTTCTGGTTCTTCCGTGGGTTCTTCAAACCAAAAATCATTTTCAGGTGATACTTTGACTATATGAAAAGAATTTTGTCATCTCTTTAATGCTATTAGGAAAGAAAAGAAATGTAGTTTAGATAGAATGTACAATGATATATCTGATGAGATTCGTGCACTTAAAGAGGAAGTATGGCGGCAGCAACAGTGAGGAGTTATTATAAACGTAAAGAAATCCAACACCTGATTGATTAAGACGTGGGTTAAAAGTAAAAAAAAGTGTTATCATTAGTACTAGCAAAGAAATTAGTACAGAATAGCGGGAAGGAATTCTTATTATATGGCTTAGGAGCCGAGTTACATCAATAATCATATATTTTACTTTGTAGATAGTCTGACATATAATAATAAATTTTGATTTTTACAAGTGATTCTTTGTAAAAATTTTTCAAAAATTTACTATCGCTATATCGAGAGTTTATCGTATAGCGCTGTCTACAGTACCCCCCTGAGATAGTATTCCCTCATTTTGCTGATAAGCAATTCGCGGCCTAATTTTTATAAGCAGTGTTTGGTTTTTTCTATGGATTTATTGTGTTAATAGCAAGATAACCCTCCAATTAGTAACAAATTTTCATATATTGCTCTCGTCATTCTGTATCTGGGGGGGGGGTTTGAATAAGACCGGGGGTACTGTAGACAGCGCTATACGGTATTAGTAAATTTACTATCAGATCGAACGGATCGACAATGATACAAAACTGGAACTAATAGAACTTTCATAATATTAGACAGCAGGCAAAGAGGGCAAGACATGCGTTCTTATTAATGCATTCTAGATGCAAGGCACGCCTACACGCAAATAAAACGAATGGTTTTTGGAAGATTTCTTTAGAGGATTTTTTAATTTAGATATATCACACGAGCCATTATTAAAAATAAATTTTATTGACTGGCCAGTCGACATACGTTTGAATAAAATACTAATGCTACGATTTTTGCGGTAAGTGACATATAAGATGATCTCTCTGAGTCTGCTTAAGGTAATATGAATACATTCATAGGATATATCACCCTTTAAGAATAACAATGTGTATCATGATCCTAGAGAGTTTCACTGAAACGGTCTTCTATACGGCAGATTTTCTTTTTAGCGAGAGGATTCTCAAGTTAGAGCTACTTGGTTAATCAAGGATTCTTCGCTTGGTGCGCTGTTTGAGAATCTGGCCACTCGTTTCACAATTGAGGTCTTGGGAGGAGATAATTTTCGTGTATTTTAAATCCTCTTGTCTGTACGATGGAATCTAAGCCTCTTCCCTTTACGCTATTTTTTTGATAATTTGTAATTATCAATAAAGCTTCTCATAAACTAGTTTATAGATCAAACATAGGAGTAAAAGATAGATACGTATTTGGCTTGTAAGTTGGCTTATGAGAAGTTTTAGAATAGATAATATTTTTATAATTTTGTAATATATTGAAAATATTATATATTTATTATTTTTCAATAATTTTTAACAATTTTTTATAATTTTTTAACAATTTTTATTTGCTAATTTAGTTATTTTTTAAATATTTTTTTTTAGAGAAATACAAATTTTATTTATTATTATTGAATTATTTTCTTTTGCTAATTGAAATTATTAAATTAGTTTAAATAATATTGAGTTTTTAATAAGTTGTTTTAATATTATATTAATTTTAGATATTACGAGCAAATCTGAAGTTACTTTTTTTTGAAACTAAACTATCAAATAATTTTATATTATTTGTTAAGTTTCAATATTGTTTATTGAAAATTAAGATTTATTATTATTAATTTATATTTTAATTTCAAAATATTGTTATTTTAATTTGATATATAATTTATTTATTAATATTATAATTTTATTAAATACTAGTATAAATAATAAATAAAATAAAATAAAATAAAATAAAATAAAATAAAATAAAATAAAATAAAATAAAATAAAATAAAATATAAAACAAATAATTAAAAATTAAACAAAAGAAAAAAATTAAATTTTTTTGGTAATTTTATATATTTTTAATTTTTTTAGAATATAAAATTTTGAAATTAAATAATAAAAATTAAAATTAAAAATAAAAATAAAAATTATAATTATAATTAAATAAAAAATAATTATTAATTTAAAAAATTAGAATTATAAAACTTTTCGTTAAATTTTATTATTATAAATTTTTTATATTTTTGAATTTGTATTTAAGACTAATTTTTATTTTTAATTTTTATATAAGTATATTAAGTTTATAATTTGTTTAATATTAATTTTTATTTATAATAACTAATAGAACTATAAAATTATATGTATAATTTTATTAATAAAATATAATAAAAATTAAAATTTTTATCTTATATAAAGTTTTCAATTTTTTAATAAATATTTTTATTTTTATATCAAAATAAAGATTATAAGTTATAGTTTAACATATATTTTTTCTGGATTTTTAAATTTTTTTCTGACAAAATTATTCTAATTGCAAAGTTATTGCAAAAATTTTTTATAATTAAAATATAAAATTAATTATAAAAATTTTTGCAATAACTTTGCAATTAAAACAACTAGAGAGAGAGAGAGAGAGAGAGAACTCATTAGAAAAAAATATATATTAAACTATAAATTATAATCTTTGATTTGATATTTGATATAAAAATAAAAAATATTTATTAATAACATTAAAAACTTTTATATAAAACAAAAATTTCAATTTTTACTATATTTTATTAATAAAATTGTATAATTCTATTAGTTATTATATTTTAATAAACTTATATTATATAAAATTTAAATCTAGATTTAGAGTTAAGATTTATATTTAAATATAATATAATTATTTTTATATAAACCAATACAAATTCAAAATTTGTATATAAAATCTTTCTAAATATACTTTTTCTTGAAATCATATTAAAAAACAGAATATACTTTTAGAAAGAGTATATATTTATAAAGAATAAATAATTAAAGATTTTATAAATTTGGAACTGAATGATAATGTATATTTAAAGAAAGTATATATATTATACAAATTTGAATTGGTATTATATTAATTAACAATTTGATTTTATCTATTTTAACAATTATTATATTAATATATATTGTATAAAGACTTGATAATATTTTTACTTATTTAATAAATTTATTTCGAATTATTGGCTAATCTTAATATATTTTTTAAATAATTTTATTAAATAATATAAAAAATTACTTTTAAATATTAGGTTTTTTAATATTATTTGTATTAGAATAAAAATTAAGTAGTAATTTTTGTTGTTAAAAAATATTATAGCTATTTATTTTAACATTATTGATAAATTAATAAATAGTTTTATTGGTACCCTTTAAACTACCTGCACTGTAGATATTATAAATAGAATCGCTTTCACAACTTTTGATATGAACTTATAAGATTAGTTTTATTTCAAGCTTTTTAACATAGTTTTAACCGAAGTTCAGAAAAAACTGAATTTAATTCAACTATCCTATTATACATTTTGGATTCACAACAATTACAGTCTAACTGCATTTATGAAAATGAGAATTTATTGCTAAAGGACTTTGATTACAAAACGGGGTTTGTTCTTAGAAATGATATTTAAATGGTCAGTAGTTTTAGTACAAGTGAAACTCGCTATGCCGAAGTTTCGATAAGCCGAAGACTAAGTAAAACTCGAGTTCAAATTTTGCAAGTTATAGTAACTTCAATTTAAAAACTTGTAACTTGGGCAACGGTAAAACGAATTTTTTACTAACCCCCGAACCTATTCGGCTTATCGGGTTTCACATATAGTTCATATTTGTTCGATTATGATTATTTAATGATTGTGTGCGCCAATTTAATTAGCCTATAACGGAGAGGTCCGTCGATTGTCTAATCAAAATATACACATACCGAAATTACTCACACATTTGATTGTTTCGATATAAACTGTAGTTAGATCTTTGAATTTTGTCTATGGTGCATAAATTCATTAAACTTCTTTCCTAAGAAATACAATCTATTGATGTTATGCACCATAATACATGTACATGCAAATCCGAAGCATGGATCAAATTATACATGATCTCGACAAATTTACTTTCTGGTAAGGACTACTTTTTATGTGAATGTTTGTATGCGCAATGTTTTACCCCGCGAACACAGATAAACTTTATACGTAAGCCGAGGATCGGAGTAATTCCAAATATTCGGCTTCATTTTAAACTTCATGCTAAGCCGAATATATATAAATCGGGAGTTGAAAAACTTCGGTTTAGTGCACTTTCGGCTTAGAATAATTGTTTAACGAGTTTGCTTTGTATTGCATTCCATAAATATAATGACAGATAAAAAAATAAAAAATGATTTTTCAAAGACAGTCCGTCATAAGGTTTTGATAATGATAATCTTTGAATTCGTCCAATATGAAAAGTTGTTTAATACTGCCAAATATTTTCGAATTATACGAAGATTGATTCAAGATAAAACTTTTTATGATTCTAAAATATGCATGATGACCTCAAAGAAGATTTAAAAATTATTTATGCATGCACACTCGATCCATTATTAGAAAAGGGAGCTTGTGCACGATGCACTCCTATATACATGTATAATCTATATTAATGCTTTATCATGATTTAAATTCAGAAAAAATTTTTGTCAATTATGAATTGTATAATATAAAGAGTATAGTATAAAAACTGATTACAGTCAGACCTCCCCAAGTGTACCCCCTCGGGACCATAGTGAAAAAATATAAAAAGTGCATTTAGAGAGGGCGTGCATTTATAAAGAGAAAAATGCATAGAGTTCTTATAAGCTGGGACCAAGCTATACCGTGCATTTAGAGAGAATTTATATAATCCGTGCATTTATAGAACGTGCACTTAGGGAGATCTGACTGTACCACGAACACTAATATAGATTACCTTGACGTTAACTTATAATTTCATATGGTTTCCATTAATGGAAATTTTCATAGATACATTTATTTGAGTATCAATATAAAATTACAAGTCACGTTTCTGATCATTAGAAATACTGATGCACAGTATTTTCTCGTTTTTTTTATAGTTGAAGAGCCGGTTAACAACAATCATTGACAACTCTTCGTTTGAATATGCACTGATTTTCGCCCCTATATTAATTCCAAGTATCAATATAAAAATATCGGTATAATTACAAAGAAAAATTTTCAGCTGAATCTGCAAGGAATCTCGATAAAACACATATGACGCAATTTTTTTTTAAGGAATCTCGTGTCCACAGCATATGATACAATTTTTTCGATAAACACGTTTCCGTGTCACTGTTAATTTCTCTTAAACATTATGCGACGCATCTCGACGAAATAAGAACAATGGCGAATTTTTTATTCACAGATGATTTGAAAAGTTTCTTTGCGTAAAAACTTGAGGGAGTCCAACTACGTAATGTATTTATTACATTAAATAGCAAGAAACACGTGTGCAAGTTGTATTTTATGCACTCCTTGCTAGACTCCTGGTAGCGGCTTCCCTTTTGAGAGACACGCCTTAAACGTGAATGTCGAGAGTTTAGCCTATATAGAACTTTTCTGCCATATGATGGGTGATTTTTTTCAATAGATCGAGATGTATACAAGATTTCCGATATGTATACAAGATTTGTGTAAATAAATTTCCTAAATAGTTTTAAAGTTTGAACAATAATTGATGGTTATCGGTCTCAGGTAATGAAACATCGTAGTTTTGCTTCAATAAGATGAAGTTAAATGCCATTTTTCTCACGATTGGAAAAACCCAACACATGCACAAAACTTAATATCAGGAAAGAACTATTGGGCAAAAAATTACGCATACAAACGATGATAAATTAAGAAAACTTGAAATCGTACTTCACAATAACAACAACAATGGTTAACGCATACATGTGTTACATAAATAGATTTGTGTAATGGAAGTTAAGTCCATCGTGTGCAAATCCTTTTTTCCTTAAAAAGAAATTTTAATATGAATACACTATCATTTTATTACATACATATCATAATGATTCCATCGCCTGATGTTTTGGTAAGTTACCATTACACAAAGGAAATTTCTTTCTTTCACTTCACGGTTCATTCATTCGTTCATTCATTTGTGCGTGCATTATTCTCCACATCAAGGGAAACATTTTCTTGTTTATATGTATGTAACACACGTGTATGGGTGACAAGAATTCTACACTGACGAAACGAAAACATCGATGCAAGGGATTGTTTATTGAAGTTACACCTTGGCTCATGCATTCATAGAGAAGTTCGTAATAATTTAGTTTAATAATAAAAAAGCCCTGCAAGTTTTGATAAGTCTTATCTGAATTCAATATATTACTACATACACTATTGAATTCAATATATTACATACTGTATACAATATAATAAAATTGGTATTTGTTTATATAAACAAATAATATAAATAATTCGATAACGATAATATTATTTTTTTGCATTGTTATCATTATCATTATTATCATTGCAATTTTAACTTCTTGTTACGTTCATAAATCGGTGAAAAAACTCAGATTGAAGAGAATCGGTACAATTTTTTTCGCCTTCGCATGCAAGTGAAAGGGGTAAACTGCAGACTGCAGAGATTCTACTTGTCAGATCAGATTCAACCCTGATTATAATCATTTTTGGAAAAATAATCCAAATATCTTTTGTGTTCTTCACACACGCTGACAAGATCGGGTTAGTCGTTATCATAATAACAAACAAACACTAGATTATTATCATTATACTCCATATCAGACAAAAAAATTTATATAAACTATTGATTTGTCGTAACTCCCACATATGCAATTCGGTTTGGAATCAATCTCGGATGAATAATATATCCTCAATAACTTTACTCTCTTTTCAAAAACATCAAATGTTTTTATCATCCCCATTAACGACCATCTTTCAACTTTCTAACGATGTTCTATACATCGTTGCCAACTACTTAGATATTCCCTCGACTGTAGCTCTTCGCGCTACTTGTCGAAATTTTTATCATCGATTGCCAAGCTCCGTGATATTCTCCGAGCTCTCGGTTCCGACCAACATGACAAACGTACAATTAGAAAAGTTTGCGTCGTCATCAAATAATCTCCGATATGTGCGGAAGGTTATTGTGAAAGGAGGGTCGAGCATCCAAGTAAATTCTCTTTTAAGAATTCTAAAAAGAAGCCCGGTTCAGCAGATATCAATCGTTGGGTGCGAAAACTTTTCTATTCCTGAACTAATGAGCACTTTAGCCGAATGGCTGCGAGACAAATCTGGCAACTCTCCCACCATGAGTTCCTTTAAAAAATTTATTTTCTCTCGTTGCATTGGAGGACCTAGAAATGCCCTAGCTATAAAAAGGGCTAATCAAGATCTGGAGAGCATAAAGCAAGCTCGAGGCGACGAGTCATTCATATACACTCTCACGGAATGCGACAATAAGGATTGCCATCAGTGCAAGTTGAGATGTGGCTCTTGCCATATCCAATACAATTTTTGCGATATGGTTTGGGTCGATTGCATTTGGTGCAAAAAAAAGTCTTTTTGTGGCCCATGTGTCACAAAGGCATCTTTAAGTGAAACTGCAAAGCCAATCCCATTCCAATACATCAAAATATGCACGATCTTTGACCTATCGTGCACCTAATTTATTTTTTTTTATAATTGAACTTTCGAAATTACAAAGATATCTTTCTTCATTCGCAAAAATCAAATATCATTCGTAAAAAATCACTCTTCATTTTCGATTATTTGTTGTATATTTGTAAAATAAACTTCGCTACACATCCAAACCCAGCTGGGACACTTCGTAACCACTATTCATTATGTTGAAAAAAATTTCAATAATTACTACGCACATAATGGTAATTAAAAAAAGTTATGCCAAATAAAAAACCTTTTTTGTTTTATGTCATATAAAAAACTTTTTCAAGTCATGCATATTTAAACTTGGATCCGTAAAAAAAATTATAAATCAGATAACGATAATAATCTGTGCAACTTTTGACAGTATATGCACTTACAAGAGCTTTGGCGTAAGCAACTTTTGGACAATCACGAGTAAGCAGAGCGTGATGTAACACTGTTAAATATGGTTGTATTGTATGTATAAATGTGGCTCAGAATATAGTCCAACGTAAACTTGTATTGTATGGTTAACCAGATAAGTATGGTACGGTGATAGATGTCAGTATGATAGAGGGATATACAGTGTTTTTTTTAGTAAGATAACTTATCCCCCCCGAACCCACCTTAGCCCTTTCCGACCAATTATAGCATACCAGCTCGATTTGGTATACAATACTAACGCTAACCATCTCATACTTGTTAATGTAGTACCGCAGGATCTAGAGCATAGTATAAAATCTGTACCATACATGTGATTTTCCGACCATACCATACTTCTTTCCTCGATCATACAATACTTTTTAACGTGGGACTCAGCATATCGTGTCGATATGCATACGCAGTACTCCTTGATTATTTAAGGTACCGTTTCCTTAAATTATTGCTTTTTTTAAAAATAACAGGTACCATAAAATGCTCTGTATAGCACCCTCCCCTTGTAAAGTACTTTCCGGTTTATGCACGGATATTTTTATGGTGCGTATTTTTATTTATAAACTTGTATCACTTAAACAATGACGACGAGAAAAGAAAATCTCATGAATTAGCATTAGAAATAACAATCTCGTCACAACATTTGAATCAAGAAACTCGTGTAATTTTTACAAATAATGAATCTTTCTAATTAAACAAAAGAATTGATTAATTGATTAATTAATTATATTCTTAACAACTCTTTGTGCCGTATTTAAAAGTCTTATTATGTATGCGATATACTTGAGAATTCTTATCATTATGTTCTGGTTTTATCGTTATTGTTTTGCAAAGTATTAAATAACCTCTACGTATCATTATATTCGCAAGAAGATTTATTGTTCTTTGTATCTGAAGAAATATAAATACTTGACATTTTTCGATGAAGATATTAATTTGAAATGGTCATAATCAGTAATAGAACAAAAAAATTACGAAGAACCTGGTGTGCCCAAGAAAAATTATGTATAATGAAAACAATAAAATGAAACTTCTATTCGTGAAACAAGTAAAAAATTTAATATCCAGCCCAAGCAATTACGGGAATGGATAAATAAAACATCACAAAAGACTTTTAAATTACATAGAGAAACTTTACCAAAATATCCACAATTAAAAGAAGCCTTATCTGAATGGATTAATAAACAACGGCAATTACAAAAGCTTGTTACTAGAACATTGGTATTTATTCGTGTAAATGAAAAAGGTTGGGTTAGTGTTTTGGTGGGTGAAAATATTTAGACTAAAAGATTACCTTTAAGTAATCCACATTCTCTTTTAGTTTTTGATTCCTTTTGTGCACATTTAGTTGATTCAGTTAAACATAACCTTATTGAAAATAATCCTGGAGGGCTAACATCTAAACTGCAACCATTAGATGTTGTTATCAACAAAGTTTTAAGATGAAGGTATATATAAATTTTAATTATTATATTTTTTTTGTCGTTACGTATATACATATTTAAAAATTAATTTTAAAGGTCCGTGCACTATATAATCAATGGATGTCGGAAGAAATTCATGAGCTTACACTTCAAACCGTATTAAAAAAACCTTTATATTCATTACTCGCTAAATGGTAGCAATTGCGTGGGTGTCTCTTGATCCAAATTTAATTAAACGTTCATTTAAATGTTGTGGGATATCTGTTATTTCTAACACTAAAACATAGCGATAGATGATAGTTTCATTTCTCGTCATTGTTAATTTAAGTGATACAAATCTATAAATAAAAATACGCACCATAAAAATATCCGTGCATAAACTGGAAAGTACTTAACAAGGGGAGGGTACTATACAGAGCGTTTTACGGTAATATCAATTTCGTCTTTCCATAGAAATATTAGAGTTCTGACTGTAGACCACCCTAGACCTGGATATCACTCAAAAAACATGCGTGTGCATGCTTTTACATCACCGAATATGTACGTATGCTATTATCTGAATTTAAGTTTGAAAAATAGAAGCAGAGTTTATTTTTTATTTCAAATATTTCGATCACAAGTTTATGTTTCTATCCGCTGCACCTAAACAATCAGTTTTACATTAATATTCATTCATAATAAGCACTTTGATTTTCAGTGCTGGGACCATTAGTGAAATAAATCTGTTTACTTTGACATAACGATATGAAGATTCTATCTTGAGAAAGATAAATTCAGAACTGAGTTGGAAGTACCCAACAAAAAAGTCACCCTCACGTGCCCACAATAAGAACGTGTAGATTTTTACCTGCCGGATAGCACAAACCAAGAAGAATGCGCAAATTTTTGATCAACCCGGCAAAACAAATTCGACACCAGAAAATGAAAAAGACGAAAAATAAGTAAAAAACTGATGTCAAAATCTGTCTTGAACCACTAATAAAAAATGTCAGGAAGAAAATTTTATGTCAGTCTTGACCTCACTTCTAACCCTAACTATAACCCAAGCGATGAAATAGCCTTTAACGTTAATTTAAAACGAGTCACGTGCGACTTCTTGTTGGTAAATCGAGTTGGAAGAGAACACCTGATTGCTGTTTTTGCAAAGGAGGGTTTCATCAGTAGATCAGTAATGTCTTTATAGTATTTTCAAATCACTATTCTTCCTTTATTTTCTACATAAACAGATAGGGAATAAGTTCTAGTTTATAGATAAAAGACCAGTTGTGCAAACTTTTTATTAGAAAAATATAATAAATTGGTCTTTTACCACGCTGTATCTATAAACTACAAGATATTCACCATCTTTTATGTAAAATTTATATTATTAAAATAGTGATTTGAAAATATAACATTTTACTATATAAATTTCGGAAAATCTGTGGGTCTCGAAAAATTGCTTAATACAGTCAAACCTCGATATAACGAAGTGGGCTATTAGTAAACAATTGAAAATTCGGTTTATTGAGGTTTATTTAGTAAATTCAGTTTATCGAGGTGGATTTACTATAACCGTTTCTGCCAGCTTCGGTTTAATTAATGCTTCGTTATATCGAGGTTGACTGTATACGATCTTAATTAGATTGATTTGATTACCCCACATTTGTTATGTACCAAATTCTTAGGAGAGGCACAAATACCATTTACTATCATTCCGAATTTTAAAAGGATTTTCTTCATTAGAAATCTGGTCGAAGGCCAAAATTTTATTTTTTGACGATCAAATTATGCATAATTTTGGCCAGCATTATTAAAGATCAAGAAAATTATTTATGAACGTATATCGTTCCGAATTATTATTAAATTAAGAAAAGCAAAAATTATAAAGCTTGCCAAAGTTACAAATATATGGATAGGGATGATATTAGGTAATCCCTTACATATTCATATTCTTTGTCTTGATTCAGCTGCGCCAAATCAACTCTTGGATTACCTCTATTCGTGTGGATTCCAGATCCAATGTCTATTCATCGTTATAAGCCGAAAACCAAGAAAATAGGGAATTAGGAAAGCAAAATAAAAAAGAAAAAAGAACTAACATCCATCCTAGTTTTGAAAACAATTTTGAATTAATAATGAAGTGAATTGATTACGGGTTTACTTATAGTCAATTAAATATTCCCTTTTTTTGTCCATGTTTTTTAAATCTTATTGCTGATTACAAGGCAAATTTACTAACATCTTTTTAGCACAATAATTAGGCTGTTCGAAATTGAATAATTATTTAGCGTTCTTTTTTTTTGAAAGTCCAGGTGGGGACAAGTGTAAAAAAACAAACATGAAAATAAGCATTGCAATTTTATTGATTATAGATTAATTGATAAGGTTTGAATTTTCCTATACTTATCGTTATAAGCACAAATGACAAGTCAAGTTAATAAAGTTATACTGTAATTTATATTTCATGTAATACAAATCAACTACGGTTATTCCACTTCATTCACATTCCTCTTTCTCTTATTAGAATTAAACTTAATTGGTCCCCGTTTTTCCTTATTCTTGCAATAAACACATAAAGGGTATATGTTTTTTCAAACAGCAGATATTTCTTCTGAAATTTCTTCGAGTTCTGATTCACCACAATAATATTGTTTACGAAAAGCTGGTAAGATAATATCGGACTTGGTGTTACAAATGGAAATATTTGGAGACCCAATTCAAGTTAACCTTGATCAGTAAAACATATAAATGGTATTTTGTTTGCCTCATTTTTAAAAAAAACCTTCTTAAATCTTAAATACTGTGCTAGAATACTAATTCAATTGGATAAAAGTTGAGGTGGGTGAAAGGACGTTAAACAATCAATCAATTTCAAACAGCCTTATGTTTTTGAAATTTTTCTAGCTAACACGAATTTTGTGAATACAGTCAACCTTCTCTATTGTCAACATGACGGGACCAGGCATTTTGTTGAGATATAAGAGGGGTGGATAACTCAGAGGTTAGAGTTAGTATCAATATATTAGTCCAAGTGAAATTTGTTCTGCAATAATGTTGATAATAAAGAGGTATTGATATTAAAAAGATTGACAATAGAGAGGGTTGGTTGACTGTATCACAAAACAAATTCACGTCATAGATATCTTAAAATCTCAATGTCACTGAATTTTAAAACTGTATCATTTCAATAAAATCAAGTATTTTATAAAAAACAGTAATTTTCGTTATTTTTATGTGTTGTAAATCTATGGAATTACGGTCTGTTGCAACTATTTACCGTAATGTTACGGCTTGACCGTAATTTTACAACATGTAATATTTCAACAGGCCAAAATATCTGTGCAATTAAGTTCACATGAGCAAAATAAATCATATGATTTTATTTGTGTAATGATTTCACCTATAAAAATAAAAGTTATAAAAAAAACCAAAAAATTTATCGTTTTTATTTCAAAAAAAATTGTGTCCTCTAAAAATAAAGATGAAAATCAAATTCTTACACACCAAAAGAAATATAATTGATAATTGAAGAATACATTCATGATGATAGTGGTAGTGATGTGAAAATTATGACAAGAATAATGCTGATAATGAAATAGCAAAAATTACTTCAAGCGGTTCATCAAAAATTCAAGCCAATTAGCAATCAATTATGCAGTCATAAATTGTTGGAAGATTTCAACGATCCATTATTATCAAAATTACTTTTTAATAATACACTATTAATTTAACTAAAAATATTTTTATGATAATGCAAATAGAAAGTGGATGAAATGAACCTGATAATGATAAAAATCCACTTAACAGTGATTATAGTGCAGCAGAGAGCATAATGAGATTTTGATCAAAATTATTCAGAAATTAATGCAAATGTATCCAGTAAAGAGGGATCAAAAGAAGAAGAATGTCTTGCTACGAAAAAAGTCGAATTATTAAAATTTCGGTCATAATTAATTAGTTATTAATTCTTTTTCTCCCGCTCCCCTGGGGGGGGGGGGGGTGATATTAGCACCCCATTCTAAAAGGAACGGGTGCTAATATCACCCCCTGTACTATTACAAGAATTGCAACTATATTCTCAAACGTTGTGATCAGTTGCAACTACGTAATTACCAACGGTTAACAACTCAATTTCAGTGAACAAAAATTCAGCAAATTTCAAGCAATTTCAGTGATGTAGATTAAATTATGAAATACCGAAACAAAACCAACAAATTACGTACGTACGTACATGTGCGTATTTCAATCGACAATACGTAATTTGTAGAACACTGATTTTGGAGATTCTCTTTTTTATAATAATAAAACGAGCCCGTAATTGAGATGTATTCGGTAAGTCAAAATATGACTCTTTCCGATATAATACCAACACGCAAACTTAGGCGAGCTAAAGAAAACAAAATGTATTTCCCAGAAATAAATGCGACCAAATCAATCTCTCGACTTGCTTTATAACCACAACTACAAGACGCATAAACTAGAAGAAAAAGCTAACTTGTAGCTGGAGAAGCGTGGATTAATCGGATTAATCATGATGTAATATCGTGAGCATATTATAGATGAATTGCCGAGAACGTTGCATAAATGCGCAGCGCTTTGGAGGTGAATATGATAGACGAATTATTATTACCTTGCTCTTAGAGCTACTTCTAAATCCCGCTTAAAATTATATATTACGAATACACCCTCGATATAACGACCATTAAGTAAAATCGCGTTATAAGAAACAGAATTTTACAGAAATATATTCATCGAAAGTGTCTTTGTACACGTAAATGTAGTTATTTATTTTCTGAAAAAGTATTTATGTATTTGTCAGAAAACAAAGATCATGATTCAATTTTCTTCATCATTCATTTATAAGATGAAAATGGTATTATAAAATGACATATAAAGAAACTAGATAGAACTAAAAAATATAATATAGTAGCTATATTTGAATATAGCTATTGTTGGATTCCATACCAACTTACGAAAGTAAACCAATACAAAACCCATCTACCAATTGGTAAACCAACCGTGCGATCAATATGTCTTTCCAATGTAGCACTTATTCTTTCTACTAGGTTATCAAAATAGTAAGCCACGTTATAAAGTAAAAATGGACGAGTTGATAGCATATTTGGAGAAATAACTTCTAATCCGGTTGGAATGACAGATGTTTGAGTAGTGAGCGTAATGGTTGTCAAAGTAGAAGATTTACTCGGAATATTGGTGATTTTTTGTTTTTTCTTATCAATTCTTTTAGTTTTTTGAGCTTGTTTGTGTTTTTTATCAATTTTTCCTAAAATTTTATCAGATTTTATATTTATCACTTAAAGAAAAAAATAGGAAACAAGAACACTTTATGAACACTCACTACGTACGCATATTATCTGCTTCAACTCGATTATTTGGATTCGCTTTTGGACTGTTTTCGAAAAATAAAGGATATTCATCGAAATATGGAAGTGAACGAAATCCTAGATTCAAATCATCATTGTGTTCCGATTGTTCTGATTGATTCAATGTAGTTTCGTAAACGGAATCTGTGTGTACTGACATTCCATTTACGGCGAATTGAACATCTATTTTATTATGCGATATATTTGATGGCGTAGTCGTGTCGTTTTCTGTGGTTTCATTTTGGATAAAGTTTGTTGTCGAAATTGAATCCGATAAATTTTCTTTCTTCTCGCGGGAATCCAATGATGGAATTTCAATTTTATCGGTTATCTTTACTGGGACTGGCATATAAGAATTCATTTCATCATTGCAGTCACTTGTAGGAACATCGATCGTATCATGATTGGATACTTGATCGGATTGTGAGCTGTCCAAATCTTTAACGACAATTGTATCGTTTCGAGTAACATCCGAGATTGTTTCATTGCTAATCGGAGATGATACATCGGTATTCTCTAAAAGTTGTTGAATAGGTTTATCTTCAATATCGGGTTTCCCCTTACTTTCAACAACAAAATTGACTTTCATGAGACTTGTATCGTCCATTTTATTGTCGTAACTTGTATCGTCCATTTTATTGTCGTAACTTGTATCGTTCATTTTATTGTCGTAACTTGTATTAGCCGCAGTCGAAATGGGATCATTCAATTTCTGAGCATCATCTTGAGTTTGAGTAGTGGTTTCTTTATTAGCATTTGATTTAGATGATTTCTTATTTCTTTTCTTTGTCATCCCGCGTAAATGATGCATTTATTCAATTTTATTTAGCAAAAGTGTCAGTTTTATTTATACCTATTTTTTTCAGCTGTAAATAAACTATTTGATCTTTTTTGTATCAATGTTGTCTTTTTATTTATTTTGAGTGCATGATAAAAAGCTCCCATGACAAGTGTATGCATAGATATATATTCCGATAAAGATAACTGCTCCCGTTCATTAAGACCTTGTAGCTTTGAAATTAATCAAGGTTTAATGTTAATCGTGAATATTTTATGCAATTCTATTGTTAGTATTATTTATTTATTTATTTATGCAGCCTTAGTAAAAATATGGTTTATTTATATGAAAATTCTATTGCTTAAATAAAGTACTATTTATTTAAGTTTCCTCTGTTCAATCAAAACTTGAATCTTGTAATCCCGCCGCTTATTATTTTAAGGAATATTTATTAAATTATGTTAACTTAAAATCCAAATAGTTTAAATTGCTTCTTTTTCATGTTCATCGTCATTATCCGTCCCGTAGAATAGTAAAATATCATCCAATATTCGGCAATCTTGGCAAAATTCAAAATCGGTATTGGGGTAATCACATGTGCTGCAATTGCCGAATAATTGCCTTCGACGTTCTTGCAATACTAGATTATTTGTATTTGAGTGAGTAAAAAAAAAATAGGGTTAAATATTTCCTATGCTCTTGGTATTTACCTTCATCTTCTTCCATAGTTTCAGCGAGATTTGATGTGAATGGACCCATTTCCATTTCACGTTTTCTTTTTATATCTATTATAAGTGCAAGGTTTGATATTTATCCTCTTTTTTTCTCTTTTATAATTCTCGTTATTCTTACCTAATTCTTCACCTGACAAGCTACTTAAAGAAGAATATCTACGCTCTTTTGGTCGTTTTTTATAATCTTGAACAAAATACGAAAGATTAATTTGGAGATAGCAAAAAAAAAAAAAAAAGATAGCAATTTTAATTACCAGATTCTTTAATTTGGTCCTCATTTACACTTTCAGCAACACTTGGTGATGGCCGTATTTTTAACGCATTTGAAAAGAACGCACGGATTTGGTTATGCGATAGGGAAGTTTGCGAATCTATTATAGAAAAAATTATTTTGTGAGCAGATTTTTTTAATTTACCTTCAAAAAGATTATACTTGCCATTTTCTGATAAGTCGGTAGAACCATGCAATCTTGTTAACGTAAAATAGTCGATAGCTATTCAAAGTAGTAGATAAACATTAAATTAGATACAAAAATTGTAAATTTTATTTTTTTTAATCTTACCAATACTATCACTATTACTTCTATGTCTTGTCGTGCCCCAAGGTGAGTCTAATCCTTCTTCATTTTCACTTTGTTTTTTCTTTTTATCTTTGCTATTTGATTTTTTTGGCTGTTGTATTTCGTTATTCTCTTTTCCTTCATGCAATAATGATTGTTCTGTTTTTTTCGAATTTAGTTTAGTATGAGTTTGCGTCTTTTCCGTCGTTGGTGAGTAAATATTTATATCAACCATTGGAGACATCGGTTCCATTTCACCCATTTTAGCATTCGAGATCCGACGCATATGATATTTCTTTGTTGTGGATTCAGTCGGATCAATTTTAGTGGCTCCGACATCTAATTCCGATGAATTTATCGATGGTATATCGGGACTATCGGTATTGCGGGAGTATTTTGTCGTTTCGCTATCAGGGAAACTTGTGTTAGAGAATGTAGTGAATTTGTGTTGTCTAAGAATTTGGGTAGCATGTTGCTGTTGCTGAACGAGATCTTGCTGCGAAGAGAATGGATTGATTTCAGGTTTGGTTGTTGACGAGGTGTCGAATAATTTAGGCGTAGGAGGTTTATATGGAGTTATTTCAAATTGACGTTGTGCTGATTTCGGTCTTATAGAAGGATATGAAAGTCTTTTTCCATCTAGTTGGGTAGTCGAATATTCTAGAAAGGAATAAAATTAGATCATGATGAATTTTCAAAGGGATCAATAAAATGGAATTTTAATAATTTTGTTAAATACCAAATTTTTCCTTTCCCTCCTCTTTCTTAAAATGTTCAATTACATCCGGAAAATATAATAATCTACTCTCGTAAATAGCTGCCATATGTTGATATTGAGAATATGGTCGAATTTTTGTATGAACAGATGGCAGTGAAAGACTCAAATTCGCGGAATGACTTAATAAAAAGGAACTATTTTCAGTGGGTGTCATTGGACCAGATGCGATACTCAATCTACCTGGTAATGAAACGACCGAAGGATTTCTTGATGTTTTCCATTGTTCTTCAGCAATATCTTTTAATAAATCATAACATTGCACAGCTGTTGGTCGCTGCGAGGGATCATTATGCCAACATCGTTGCATTAATTCTGTGAATTTCTCCGGACTGTCATCAATATTATGAGGTCGATGTCCTTTGCATATTTGCAATGCCAATGATGCATCATGTGCTCTATTTCCAAATGGTATTTCACCGGAAGCTATTTCCCACATAATCATTGCAAAACTATAGATATCTGTTGCTGGCGTATATGACTTTCCAAGCAATAGTTCTGGTGCGACATATGGAAGGACACCGCAAATATTCTGTTCGAAAGAATAATGCAAGCCTAAATCTGCGATGAATGTACTTAATTTCGAACGAAGAATATTTCCTGTGTGTAAATCACGATGAATAAATCCCATAGTATGCATTCTAGCAAGACCATTTGCTATGCACTGAAGCGTATCAAATTTATCTTCCCAATTCATCTCTTCAGAATTTTTACGTAAATAATCACGCAGATTTCCATCTTGTGCATATTTCATTACAACCATTAAATTTCCATTGTCGGGATTTCGTGTGATCCCATAATAATTTATCATTTCCGGTATATTGCTTGTAACTCCACTGATCACCTTGAAGATTCCCCAAGTATTAAAAAGAGATGATAAATAATTGACAAAAATATAATTACTTTATTACCTCTTTTAGCCAATCTTCTGTTATATAAATGGAATTTGGTACAGTTTTTAAAACAAATTTTCCATCTGGTTCGATTAACTTGTCCCATGTATTCCCAATCGCGTTCCATCCGACCTTGAATCCTTCTAAATACTGGGCGGAATACACAGCACCAGTAAATCCGTGACCAATTGTAACTAATTTACTAAACTTTTCGAATGGTATCCATTCAATCAATTGGTTGGCACTAGTTGCAGACATTTGAGCATTTTGTATATATTCATCAATCAATGGGTTTCCACTCGTCCATTGCTCGAATTCAATCTCAAGATTTTTTTGTGTACATAATCGACACCATCGTTCTTCTTTATATGTGGTAGCGCAACCAGGACATTTACCTAAATCATAACTTTGAAAAGTAGTGTCGGTCGTGGTTTCTTTGGCCGCTGGCCTAAAGATTAGCACTATATATATGTAATAACAATTAGAAACATAACCAAATAATATGTAATTCTTGATCAAAAAAAAATATACTTGCAATCCTCGGATTTTTTGACATTTCCAACCTCTTCTTCATTAATCGTGTTTACATCGGGTGCATAAGCCTCTAAATCTGCCGCTGCTTGCAATGCCAATACTAAATAATAATAATAATAATAATAATAATCCATCCATCAATTAATAAATGTATTCGTTTAGGTCACCGATGTTTCATAAAGAAATTACCAACCATCAATTGAACTGTCTCCGGAAAAAGAAAGTTGCAAAGAATGTTCAATTACATTTCCATTCCCCAGGTTTCCACTTAAGCTCTGTTTATTTGTGATTCTCAAATTAGGATTATTTTCAGATTCAAAAAGATTTTCAAAATGAAAATGTCGACTTGTATATATGGCTTGTGGATGCTTTTGTGAATAGGTATCTCCATTGGCCAACTTGAATACTGGTATTTTATGGTCAGTCCAACGCTCGAATAACGATTTGCATTGTTCAGCGGCAGGTCGTTTCTTTGGATCTTGATGCCAACAAAGTTTTAGAAGATCCGCCATTTTCTGAGGAACTGATGCATGTATCTCGGGTCTCAAACCCTTACAAATTTTTTCAGCCAGTTTTGCATCATGAGCTTGATCCCAAAATGGCATTTGACCCATCACCATTTCATACATTATCATCGCTAAACTATAAATATCTGATTTCGCTGAATAGTGGCCATATCGAAGCACTTCTGGTGCAAGATATGGTAGGACTCCTGTTATCTGAGAGCCAGGTTGTCGATCGCATGGACCAATTAACCCAATATCAGCTATTTGCCAGGTACCTATATCGGCAACTACATTTCCCGGATGTAAATTACGATGCACAAATCCGTCATTATGAATGTATGCTAAACCGTCGGCAATATCGTGCAATATTTTAAGTTTTTGCTGTATACTTGTGTCACCATACTTTTGTCGGAGAAACCGGCGAAGATTGATATCCGCGAGTCTTATTATTATAAAATATTGATCTGTATTTGGTTGTCGAGTGAATCCCACATATTTTTGGATATATTCACAACATTGTATTTGAGCTCGTATCTGAGCAATGTATCAAAATTAGTGGAAATATGTATGAGGTGTGCAATGTCATTTTCATAATTCCTACCTCTCTTAAGAATTCGTCACAAATTCGTTCTGAATTTCGATATAACTTCAACGCGACCAGACTCTCATCCCAGATACTCCATTTATCCCAAAGCGGTTCCCATTTTATTTTTTCTCCATCAATACATCTCGCAGAATATACTCTGGCGAATCCTCCTTCACCGATCGATCTTATATCCGCAAATTTCTCAAACGGAATATATTGCAAGAATCCAAGTGGCTTCACAGCATTCATTTGCGTCTCTCGTATAAAGTTATCGATCAATGGATGGCCACTAGTCCATGAGCTAAACTCTTTTTGGAATCGTTCTTGATAGCATGGTTGACACCATTCATCCTCGGAATTCGGTCGACCACAACTTGGACATCGTCCGTTTGGGTATGTTGAAGTTGAATAATTTGAGTATTCCATCATCATTGTCGACGGACAACTCCCGATCAATGCGAAAATTTAGGAGAGAATTAGAAGATGTCTTCTAGACTAAAAATATAATAGTGTGTTTACTAAAATAAAATAAAGCAGTTATCCATGTATATTTTGATCCTCTAAACTACAAACCTTCTTAATGTTAAATATTTCTTTATTTCATGAATGTCAGGTAAAACAATTAATTTAATTTTTCATAAAAACAATTAATTTTTTCTGTAAAAATAATATTGTAGTGATTTTTTTAAAGTTATCTATCTTTTTTTTGGTAATGATATTTTATTGTGACAATTATATTATTCTTCTTTTCCAGTTAAGAGATTTGAAATCATTACTATACTAGTAAAAAGAATCAGGGGATCGTAAAGTTTCAACAAAAAAGCTTTAATAAAAATTCTCGTTTATCGTTATGTTTTGCATGGAATTTCTGATTACACACACACACAACAGATTAAATGCGTACAACACATAAATATAACGCATATACATGTAATATTAAATTTATTAGTACGTACCATTATCAAAAATATAAATATTGTAATACATGTACTTTATCTGACATTTTTATAATTTATTAATGTTAATTAATTAATGTTAATTAATTAGCTTTTTAATCTAACGCTAACGTTAATGTTAACGCTAATGCTGTTATAATATACATGTATATGTATATATACAGTAATGTACATGTACAATTAGTATTTGTCGCTCAACGTAGGAACATTATTTGTGTACATTGTGTAATATGTACTCTGTAGATAACTTCCAATAACGATAACGATAATGAACATGTACATGTAGCGGAATTTCAGGGGTTCACAATTATGTTACCATTACCGTTACAGTGCAGTGAACCCAATGTTAACGTTAAATATGTACATGTATAACGATAACGATAACGAAGATTTAAAGATTTTTAGTTGGACCCTTCGTTAGCGTTAGTACGTACATATTAAGTAATATAAAATTTGTGATCTACTACATGTATTTTTTTGTTCCATAATTATGAAAAATAAAAACTGATGCTTTTTTCATTCTCTTGTATTAAAAACTAATTAAATTTTTTTGAAGATATTCTTATTCTTAATATAATTATAGAACAAAAATATTAAGATTTATTAGTACATGTAATATCGATATTAAAATTTAGATTCTTTAAGAAAAAGATTTTAACTTTTTTTATATAGTAAGATCTATTCTAATAAACACATCAAATTTGTCATTTTAGAGTTTTTCTGTATTATTTATAACATTTTAAGTATAGTCGACCCTCTCTATTGTCAACATGACGGGACCAGACATTTTTGTTAATATATAAAAGGGTTGAGGTTAGAGTTAGTATCAATATATCAGTTCAAGTAAAATTTGTTTTGCAATAAATGTTGATATTAAAAATGTTAATATGGTGCATAAAATCTAAAGTCATCAAACGTTTGTACATGTATTTTATAAAATGTATAAACTTCTTTACTAAGAAGTAAATACAAAATTTAATCCGTGAATATGCTCAGAAAAGATTATTCTATCATATTCACAGATTTAAATTTTGTATTTACTTCTTAGTAAAGAAGTTTATACATGCTATAAAATACAAACATTTGACTTAGATTTTATGCACCATAATAGAGAGAATTAATTATATATTTATATTTATATTACACATCTTTACACTATATTACCAGAATTGAAAAAAAATATAGTAAAACATAGTAAAATTGACATTATTGCTTTATATTAAAATTTGTTATTTTATTAATAAATATT